TTCCCACTGGCGAAAACTCATGAAATTTGGCAGGACGACCGGGCCTGGTGAAAAATTTGATATTCCGAAGTCGCCCAAACAAGAAAATGCAAAATGGCTCCATAGCGCCCCCTAAGGTGAAAATTCACACTATTGACTGTCACGCCTGTACGCTTTGTCAAAATGACACAAAAATTGACACACACATGTATCTCAATAAGATCTACAAAAAAGTCAGTGCGGGCGTATCTGTCAAATGTACGGTTAAAGGGTTATTTCGCATTTTTTGCCGATCCGCACACATTGGAATTTCGCTAACTCCTCCGAAGGCTTTCGTTCCACCGGCACCACATTTGCTCAGGCCAATCTACACCCCATGGCCATTAAAAGTTATTCAAATCATGACGCTGCACCCCACGGTTTAGGTTCTAGGGGGCGCCAAAGATAACCCTAAGATCCACATATTTAAAAGTCTTATAACTTTTTATTTTTGCCCTCACTGGCCTCCAAGTTTTCTAGGATGATGCAATGTCCAGCCATCAACACATTTGTGAAGAAATTTTTACTCCCCAAAAGAGCGCCCCCCATGGCAGGAGAAAAAAGTCCATTTTTTCTTGTCCCCTAAGGTGAAAATACACATTGTTGAGTGTAACACCTGTACGCTTTGGCAAAATGACACAAAAATTGACACACACATGTATCTCAATAAGATCTACGAAAAAGTCAATGCGCGCGTATCTGTCAAATGTACAGTTAAAGGGTTATTCCGCATTTTTTGCCGATCCGCACACATTGGAATTTCGCTAACTCCTCCGAAGGCTTTCGTTCCACCGGCACCACATTTTCTCAGGCCAATCTACACCCCATGGCCATTAAAAGTTATTCAAATCATGACGCTGCACCCCACGGTTTAGGTTCTAGGGGGCGCCAAAGATAACCGTAAAATCCACATATTTAAAAGTCTTATAACTTTTTATTTTTGTCCCCACTGGCCTCCAAGTTTTCTAGGATGATGCAATGTCCAGCCATCAACACATTTGTGAAGGAATTTTTACTCGCCAAAAGAGCGCCCCCCCATGGCAGGAGAAAAAAGTCCATTTTTTCTTGTCCACTAAGGTGAAAATACACATTGTTGAGTGCTACGCCTGTATGTTTTGTCGTATTGACACAAAATTTTACACACACGTGTATTTCAATAAGATCTTCGAAAAAGTCAATGGCCACGTATCTGTCAAATGTACGGTTAAAGGGTTATTTCGCATTTTTTGCAGATTCGCACACATTGGAATTTCGCTAACTCCTCCGAAGGCTTTCGTTCCACCGGCACCACATTTGCTCAGGCCAATCTACACCCCATGGCCATTAAAAGTTATTCAAATCATGACGCTGCACCCCACGGTTTAGGTTCTAGGGGGCGCCAAAGATAACCGTAAAATCCACATATTTAAAAGTCTTATAACTTTTTATTTTTGTCCTCACTGGCCTCCATGTTTTCTAGGATGATGCAATGTCCAGCCATCAACACATTTGTGAAGGAGTTTTTTCTCGTTAAAAGAGCGCCCCCCCATGGCAGGAGAATAAAGTCAAGTTTTTCCTGTTCATCATTCAATGGCTCAAACGCACTGCTCTCTCGGCAAAAGCGAAAGGAGGAGCAACTTGCCATTTGGATATATCTTAGCTGTGTTTGTGCCCTCACTCATGGTCCAGACTTTTTTCAAATAGGACATGGAGTTTTTCTGCAGCGAGCGTTTTGGTAGAAACTGCGCCTCCCGTTCATTATAATGGTAAATGACCACAAACAAGTGCGCACACCATCTTTGGACCTTGAGTGTGACGCGATCGGGTGGGGGAGGCGCTTGCGCTGGGGGCGGCGTGACACGGCTCGGGCCCGCCAGTGCCCCAACGGGGCCCTAGTGTTATTATTAGGGCCCGAGCCAGCTGCAGAGCAGCCGGGCGTAGGCCCTATTATTCCCCAAGTGGTTTTTCTTTGTTTCTTTCTTTCTTTCTTTCTTTCTTTCTTTCTTTCTTCTTTTTCCTCCCCTTTGAACTGGAAAATGGCCCACTTCCCACTGGCGAAAACTCATGAAATTTGGCAGGACGACCGGGCCTGGTGAAAAATTCGATATTCTGAAGTCGCCCAAACAATAAAATGCAAAATGGCTCCATAGCGCCCCCTAAGGTGGAAATTCACACTATTGACTGTCACGCCTGTACGCTTTGTCATATTGACACAAAAATTGACACACATATGTATCTCAATAAGATCTACGAAAAAGTCAGTGCGGCCGTATCTGTCAAAATTACGGTTAAAGGGTTATTTCGCATTTTTTGCCGATCCGCACACATTGGAATTTCGCTAACTCCTCCGAAGGCTTTCGTTCCACCGGCACCACATTTGCTCAGGCCAATCTACACCCCGTGGCCATTAAAAGTTATTCAAATCATGACGCTGCACCCCACGGTTTAGGTTCTAGGGGGCGCCAAAGATAACACTAAAATCCACATATTTAAAAGTCTTATAACTTTTTATTTTTGTCCTCACTGGCCTCCAAGTTTTCTAGGATGATGCAATGTCCAGCCATCAACACATTTGTGAAGGAATTTTTACTCCCCAAAAGAGCGCCCCCCATGGCAGGAGAAAAAAGTCCATTTTTTCTTGTCCCCTAAGGTGAAAATACACATTATTGAGTGTCACGCCTATACGCTTTGTCAAAATGACACAAAAATTGACACACACATGTAACTCAATAAGATCTACAAAAAAGTCCATGCGCGCGTATCTGTCAAATGTACAGTTAAAGGGTTATTCCGCATTTTTTGCCGATACGCACACATTGGAATTTCGCTAACTCCTCCGAAGGCTTTCGTTCCACCGGCACCACATTTGCTCAGGCCAATCTACACCCCATGGCCATTAAAAGTTATTCAAATCATGATGCTGCACCCCATGGTTTAGGTTCTAGGGGGCGCCAAAAATAACCCAAAAATCCACATTCTTAAATGTTTTATAACTTTTTATTTTTGTCCTCACTGGCCTCCAAGTTTTCTAGGATGATGCAATGTCCAGCCATCAACACATTTGTGAAGGAATTTTTACTCCCCAAAAGAGCGCCCCCCCATGGTAGGAGAAAAAAGTCAATTTTTTCTTGTCCCCTTACATAAAAATACACATTGTTGAGTGTCACGCCTGAACGCTTTGTCATATTGACACAAAAATTAACAATCATGTGTATCTCAATTAGATCTACGAAAAAGTCAAAGAGCGCGTATCTGTATAATGTACGGTTAAAGGGCTATTTTGCATTTTTTGCCGATTCGCACACATTGGAATGTGGCTATCTCCTCCTAAGGCTTTCGTCCCACCGATACCAAATTTGCTCAGGGCAATCTACACCCCATGGCCATTCAAAGTTGTAAAAATCATGACGCTGCACCCCACGGTTTAGGTTCTAGGGGGCGCCAAAGATGACCCAAAAATCCACATTCTTAAAAGTCATTTTGGCCACTGCAGGAGTACAGAGTACTGCAGTTCTAGGGGGCGCCAAAGATGACCCAAAAATCCACATTCTTAAAAGTCTTTTTGGCCACTGCAGGAGTACAGAGTACTGCAGGATACACACACATATACACACACGCCAACATACACACACACACACACACACACACACACACACACACACAGACACACACACACACACTCAGAGTCTGTTTTTTAGCACCTGCAAAAACATGCTGTTTACATATTTGACAAGAATGCAGAGGCTTCCTTTTGCCCCTGAAAAAAATCAAATTTCAAACACAACTTGACTGTTCATTTCTCCAAAAGACAACCATGAAGCTCCATTTCAAACCTGAAGCAGATAGTTGGTGCATGTGTACAGTAACCTGAGGGGAGTGAGGTGACTATTTCTGAGGAGAACATGAGCAGTGAAGATTCACCTTGGAGCTAGAACAGGGACGTGCACATGATTATACAGGGGCAGGGGCTCAAGTTTTTTCCAGTCATTTATACAATATGGAAATTAATGTGAAATTAAACCACAAATATGTGTGATGAACTGTTTTTAAAACTTAAACTTCAAATAAAAATTGTAAACTTCAAAACATATGCAAATTTTTAACAAAGAACATAGTAATTTACCTCTATTTACATCAAAATGCAGGCAATGGCCCAGGCGTTCTTTGTAAAATTATTTACAAAACACTGTATAGTCTCACAAATGTCACTTTTTATTTATGCCACTACAAAAAAACATGATGTAAATGATGCATGATGTAAAACATGATGTAAAAAACTTGTGTAGATCCTCCTCTATGTCAGTCCATGTGTAATTTTTCCATAATTCTTTGTTTTTTGCAGCATTTTTGTTAGTGTAACTGCAGATTGTGCTGACAGTGTCTATGGCACAAAAAAAAAAAAAATTAAAATGCCTCAACATGAACCCCTGGTGGTCTCTGAGGGTGAAACCTGCTAACTGCTGCAGCTCTGTCAGCTTCAGTCTCCCATGCAGAGCTCTGAGCGCATGTGTGGCTCTGCACCCTTAGCAGCGTTGCTAACTCCTCAGTAAGGAAAGCCTGCTTCATGTCAGAGTCTCTAAACTCCAGAAGAAGTCGATAAAAGTCCCTTTCTTTCTAACAAAAAGTCGTTAGGGGGTCTGAAAAGTCATTGAATCTAACAACAAAGTCGCTAGGTTTGCAACTACGTGTCCCAGACTGCATCCCTGCTGAGAGTCCCTCCCTCGCTTCTCATGTTGCAGGAAGAACGTAAGCGCCCGCCCCTTGTCAATCAGTCACCATATAATTTTGGATTGGTTGTTGTGGTGAAGTTTTCCACCAATAGGAGAGATGTTGTGGTGTGTTTTTTTTTTCTTTTGGCAAGCCTTTTCCGCCTGTAAGACCTGTCGCTAATGTCTGCATGCTATGTTTTCCTGTCTCATACAGCGCGATCGAGCGCCGAACGTGATCAAAATAAGCAGAAAAAAAGTATCGCGGACATAATTTATCATAACTCTGGTTTTATTTGGCCTATCAACACAATTTAAAAACTGGTATATAGGTTGAGGTCCTCACTTTTGAGATAAGTTGAAACGGAGAGTCAACGAGGCTCCGTCTTGCAGCTACATCCGGTTAAATATGTCATGTGACTTGAACGCACACGCAGACACACACACGCACACACACACACACACACACACACACACTCAGAGTCTGGTTTTTAGCACCTGCAAAAACATGCTATTTACATATTTGACAAGAATGCAGAGGCTCCTTTTGCCCCTGAAAAAAATCAAATTTCAAACACAACTTGACTGGTAATTTCTCCAAAAGACAACCATGAAGCTCCATTTCAAACCTGAAGCAGATAGTTGGTGCATGTGTACAGTAACCTGAGGGGAGTGAGGTGACTATTTCTGAGGAGAACATGAGCAGTGAAGATTCACCTTGGAGCTAGAACAGGGACGTGCACATGATTATACAGGGGCAGGGGCTCAAGTTTTTTCCAGTCATTTATACAATATGGAAATTAATGTGAAATTAAACCACAAATATGTGTGATGAACTGTTTTTAAAACTTAAACTTCAAATAAAAATTGTAAACTTCAAAACATATGCAAATTTTTAACAAAGAACATAGTAATTTACCTCTATTTACATCAAAATGCAGGCAATGGCCCAGGCGTTCTTTGTAAAATTATTTACAAAACACTGTATAGTCTCACAAATCTCACTTTTTATTTATGCCACTACAAAAAAACATGATGTAAATGATGCATGATGTAAAACATGATGTAAAAAACTTGTGTAGATCCTCCTCTATGTCAGTCCATGTGTAATTTTTCCATAATTCTTTGTTTTTTGCAGCATTTTTGTTAGTGTAACTGCAGATTGTGCTGACAGTGTCTATGGCACAAAAAAAAAAAAAAATTAAAATGCCTCAACATGAACCCCTGGTGGTCTCTGAGGGTGAAACCTGCTAACTGCTGCAGCTCTGTCAGCTTCAGTCTCCCATGCAGAGCTCTGAGCGCATGTGTGGCTCTGCACCCTTAGCAGCGTTGCTAACTCCTCAGTAAGGAAAGCCTGCTTCATGTCAGAGTCTCTAAACTCCAGAAGAAGTCGATAAAAGTCCCTTTCTTTCTAACAAAAAGTCGTTAGGGGGTCTGAAAAGTCATTGAATCTAACAACAAAGTCGCTAGGTTTGCAACTACGTGTCCCAGACTGCATCCCTGCTGAGAGTCCCTCCCTCCCTTCTCATGTTGCAGGAAGAACGTAAGCTCCCGCCCCTTGTCAATCAGTCACCATATAATTTTGGATTGGTTGTTGTGGTGAAGTTTTCCACCAATAGGAGAGATGTTGTGGTGTGTTTTTTTTTTCTTTTGGCAAGCCTTTTCCGCCTGTAAGACCTGTCGCTAATGTCTGCATGCTATGTTTTCCTGTCTCATACAGCGCGATCGAGCGCCGAACGTGATCAAAATAAGCAGAAAAAAAGTATCGCGGACATAATTTATCATAACTCTGGTTTTATTTGGCCTATCAACACAATTTAAAAACTGGTATATAGGTTGAGGTCCTCACTTTTGAGATAAGTTGAAACGGAGAGTCAACGAGGCTCCGTCTTGCAGCTACATCCGGTTAAATATGTCATGTGACTTGAACGCACACGCAGACACACACACGCACACACACACACACACACACACACACACTCAGAGTCTGGTTTTTAGCACCTGCAAAAACATGCTATTTACATATCTGACAAGAATGCAGAGGCTCCTTTTGCCCCTGAAAAAAATCAAATTTCAAACACAACTTGACTGGTAATTTCTCCAAAAGACAACCATGAAGCTCCATCCAAACCTGAAGCAGGCAGTTGGTGCATGTGTACAGTAACCTGAGGGGAGTGAGGTGAGTGCTTCTGAGGAGAACATGAGCAGTGAAGATTCACCTTGGAGCTAGAACAGAGACATGCACATGATTATACAGGGGCAGGGGCTCAAGTTTTTTCCAGTCGTTTATACAATATGGAAATTGATGTGAAATTAAAACACAAAGTATTAATAGAAAGGTAATGACTGTCCTGTGTAGGTGACAGTGATATCCAATAGGCTAGGCACTCACGAGGCTGGCTGTGGCAAGTGTAAGTGAAAGCAACACGCACTGGCAGGAAGAACAGCAAACGCCGATGAAGGAAAAGGGTCTTTGCAGTGATGGGCGTTAACAGAGAGGGCGATGGCCAGAGGACACAAATGGGACGGGGAGGCAGCATGTTGGGGGGGGGGATACGCGACACGGCTCGGGCCCGCCAGTGCCCCAACGGGGTCCTAGTTATTATTTTTCCTCCCCTTTGAACTGGAAAATGGCCCACTTCCCACTGGCGAAAACTCATGAAATTTGGCAGGACGACCGGGCCTGGTGAAAAATTTGATATTCTGAAGTCGCCCAAACAATACAATGCAAAATGGCTCCATAGCGCCCCCTAAGGTGAAAAATTCACCTGACGCCTGTACGCTTTGTCAAAATGACACAAAAATTGACACACACATGTATCTCAATAAGATCTACAAAAAAGTCAGTGCGGGCGTATCTGTCAAATGTACGGTTAAAGGGTTATTTCGCATTTTTTGCCGATCCGCACACATTGGAATTTCGCTAACTCCTCCGAAGGCTTTCGTTCCACCGGCACCACATTTGCTCAGGCCAATCTACACCCCATGGCCATTAAAAGTTATTCAAATCATGACGCTGCACCCCACGGTTTATGTTCTAGGGGGCGCCAAAGATAACCCTAAAATCCACATATTTCAAAGTCTTATAACTTTTTATTTTTGTCCTCACTGGCCTCCAAGTTTTCTAGGATGATGCAATGTCCAGCCATCAACACATTTGTGAAGGAATTTTTACTCCCCAAAAGAGCGCCCCCCCATGGCAGGAGAAAAAAGTCCATTTTTTCTTGTTCCATAAGGTGAAAATTCACACTATTGACTGTCACGCCTGTACGCTTTGTCAAAATTACACAAAAATTGACACACACATGTATCTCAATAAGATCTACAAAAAAGTCAGTGCGGGCGTATCTGTCAAATGTACGGTTAAAGGGTTATTGCGCATTTTTTGCCGATCCGCACACATTGGAATTTCGCTAACTCCTCCGAAGGCTTTCGTTCCACCGGCACCACATTTGCTCAGGCCAATCTACACCCCATGGCCATTAAAAGTTATTCAAATCATGACGCTGCACCCCACGGTTTAGGTTCTAGGGGGCGCCAAAGATAACCCTAAAATCCACATATTTAAAAGTCTTATAACTTTTTATTTTTGTCCTCTCTGGCCTCCAAGTTTTCTAGGATGATGCAATGTCCAGCCATCAACACATTTGTGAAGGAATTTTTACTCCCTAAAAGAGCGCCCCCCCATGGCAGGAGAAAAAAGTCCATTTTTTCTTGTCCCATAAGGTGAAAATACACATTGTTGACTGTCATACCTGTATGCTTTGTCATATTGACACAAAATTTGACACACACATGTATCTCAATAAGATCTACGAAAAAGTCAATGCGCGCGTATCTGTAAAATGTACGGTTAAAGGGCTATTTTGCATTTTTTGCTGATTAGCACACATTGGAATGTGGCTAACTCCTCCTAAGGCTTTCGTCCCACTGACACCAAATTTGCTCAGGCCAATCTACACCCCATGGCCATTCAAAGTTTTAAAAATCATGACGCTGCACCCCACGGTTTACGTTCTAGGGGGCGCCAAAGATGACCCAAATATCCACATTCTTAAAAGAATCCACATCCCTTTCCCCCCCTCCCATCCCCCATCCCCCATGGCAGGAGAAACAGTCAAGTTTTTCCTGCCCATCACTCAATGGCTCAATCGCATCGCTCTCCCGGCAACACCGTAACGAGGAGCAACTTGCCGTTTGGATATATCCTAGCTGTGTTTGTGCCCTCACTCATGGTCCAGACTTTTTTCAAATAGGACATGTAGTTTGTCTGCAGCGAGTGTTTTGGTAGAAACTGCGCCTCCCATTCATTATAATGGGAAATGACCACAGACAAGTGCGCACACCATCTTTGGACCTTGAGTGTGACGCGATCGGGAGGGGGAGGCGGTCGCACTGGGGGCGGCGCAACGCGGCTCGGGCCCGCCAGTGCCCCAACGGGGCCCTAGTTGTTTCTTTCTTTCTTCTTTTTCCTCCCCTTTAAACTGGAAAATGGCCCACTTCCCACTGGCGAAAACTCATGAAATTTGGCAGGACGACCGGGCCTGGTGAAAAATTCGATATTCTGAAGTCGCCCAAACAATAAAATGCAAAATGGCTCCATAGCGCCCCCTAAGGTGGAAATTCACACTATTGACTGTCACGCCTGTACGCTTTGTCATATTGACACAAAAATTGACACACATATGTATCTCAATAAGATCTACAAAAAAGTCAGTGCGGCCGTATCTGTCAAAATTACGGTTAAAGGGTTATTTCGCATTTTTTGCCGATCCGCACACATTGGAATTTCGCTAACTCCTCCGAAGGCTTTCGTTCCACCGGCACCGCATTTGCTCAGGCCAATCTACACCCCGTGGCCATTAAAAGTTATCAAAATCATGACGCTGCACCCCAAGGTTTAGGTTCTAGGGGGCGCCAAAGATAACACTAAAATCCACATATTTAAAAGTCTTATAACTTTTTATTTTTGTCCTCACTGGCCTCCAAGTTTTCTAGGATGATGCAATGTCCAGCCATCAACACATTTGTGAAGGAATTTTTACTCCCCAAAAGAGCGCCCCCCATGGCAGGAGAAAAAAGTCCATTTTTTCTTGTCCCCTAAGGTGAAAATACACATTGTTGAGTGTCACGCCTATACGCTTTGTCAAAATGACACAAAAATTGACACACACATGTAACTCAATAAGATCTACAAAAAAGTCCATGCGCGCGTATCTGTCAAATGTACAGTTAAAGGGTTATTCCGCATTTTTTGCCGATACGCACACATTGGAATTTCGCTAACTCCTCCGAAGGCTTTCGTTCCACCGGCACCACATTTGCTCAGGCCAATCTACACCCCATGGCCATTAAAAGTTATTCAAATCATGATGCTGCACCCCATGGTTTAGGTTCTAGGGGGCGCCAAAAATAACCCAAAAATCCACATTCTTAAATGTTTTATAACTTTTTATTTTTGTCCTCACTGGCCTCCAAGTTTTCTAGGATGATGCAATGTCCAGCCATCAACACATTTGTGAAGGAATTTTTACTCCCCAAAAGAGCGCCCCCCATGGTAGGAGAAAAAAGTCAATTTTTTCTTGTCCCCTTACATAAAAATACACATTGTTGAGTGTCACGCCTGAACGCTTTGTCATATTGACACAAAAATTGACAATCATGTGTATCTCAATTAGATCTACGAAAAAGTCAAAGAGCGCGTATCTGTATAATGTACGGTTAAAGGGCTATTTTGCATTTTTTGCCGATTCGCACACATTGGAATGTGGCTATCTCCTCCTGAGGCTTTCGTCCCACCGATACCAAATTTGCTCAGGGCAATCTACACCCCATGCCCATTCAAAGTTGTAAAAATCATGACGCTGCACCCCACGGTTTACGTTCTAGGGGGCGCCAAAGATGACCCAAAAATCCACATTCTTAAAAGTCATTTTGGCCACTGCAGGAGTACAGAGTACTGCAGTTCTAGGGGGCGCCAAAGATGACCCAAAAATCCACATTCTTAAAAGTCTTTTTGGCCACTGCAGGAGTACAGAGTACTGCAGGATACACACACATATACACACACGCCAACATACACACACACACACACACACACACACACAGACACACACACACACTCAGAGTCTGTTTTTTAGCACCTGCAAAAACATGCTGTTTACATATTTGACAAGAATGCAGAGGCTTCCTTTTGCCCCTGAAAAAAATCAAATTTCAAACACAACTTGACTGTTCATTTCTCCAAAAGACAACCATGAAGCTCCATTTCAAACCTGAAGCAGATAGTTGGTGCATGTGTACAGTAACCTGAGGGGAGTGAGGTGACTATTTCTGAGGAGAACATGAGCAGTGAAGATTCACCTTGGAGCTAGAACAGGGACGTGCACATGATTATACAGGGGCAGGGGCTCAAGTTTTTTCCAGTCATTTATACAATATGGAAATTAATGTGAAATTAAACCACAAATATGTGTGATGAACTGTTTTTAAAACTTAAACTTCAAATAAAAATTGTAAACTTCAAAACATATGCAAATTTTTAACAAAGAACATAGTAATTTACCTCTATTTACATCAAAATGCAGGCAATGGCCCAGGCGTTCTTTGTAAAATTATTTACAAAACACTGTATAGTCTCACAAATGTCACTTTTTATTTATGCCACTACAAAAAAACATGATGTAAATGATGCATGATGTAAAACATGATGTAAAAAACTTGTGTAGATCCTCCTCTATGTCAGTCCATGTGTAATTTTTCCATAATTCTTTGTTTTTTGCAGCATTTTTGTTAGTGTAACTGCAGATTTTGCTGACAGTGTCTATGGCACAAAAAAAAAAAAAATTAAAATGCCTCAACATGAACCCCTGGTGGTCTCTGAGGGTGAAACCTGCTAACTGCTGCAGCTCTGTCAGCTTCAGTCTCCCATGCAGAGCTCTGAGCGCATGTGTGGCTCTGCACCCTTAGCAGCGTTGCTAACTCCTCAGTAAGGAAAGCCTGCTTCATGTCAGAGTCTCTAAACTCCAGAAGAAGTCGATAAAAGTCCCTTTCTTTCTAAAAAAAAGTCGTTAGGGTGTCTGAAAAGTCATTGAATCTAACAACAAAGTCACTAGGTTTGCAACTACGTGTCCCAGACTGCATCCCTGCTGAGAGTCCCTCCCTCCCTTCTCATGTTGCAGGAAGAACGTAAGCGCCCGCCCCTTGTCAATCAGTCACCATATAATTTTGGATTGGTTGTTGTGGTGAAGTTTTCCACCAATAGGAGAGATGTTGTGGTGTGTTTTTTTTTTCTTTTGGCAAGCCTTTTCCGCCTGTAAGACCTGTCGCTAATGTCTGCATGCTATGTTTTCCTGTCTCATACAGCGCGATCCAGCGCCGAACGTGATCAAAATAAGCAGAAAAAAAGTATCGCGGACATAATTTATCATAACTCTGGTTTTATTTGGCCTATCAACACAATTTAAAAACTGGTATATAGGTTGAGGTCCTCACTTTTGAGATAAGTTGAAACGGAGAGTCAACGAGGCTCCGTCTTGCAGCTACATCAGGTTAAATATGTCATGTGACTTGAACGCACACATAGACACACACACACGCACACACACACACACACACACACACACACACACACACACACACACACACTCAGAGTCTGGTTTTTAGCACCTGCAAAAACATGCTATTTACATATTTGACAAGAATGCAGAGGCTCCTTTTGCCCCTGAAAAAAATCAAATTTCAAACACAACTTGACTGGTCATTTCTCCAAAAGACAACCATGAAGCTCCATCCAAACCTGAAGCAGGCAGTTGGTGCATGTGTACAGTAACCTGAGGGGAGTGAGGTGAGTGCTTCTGAGGAGAACATGAGCAGTGAAGATTCACCTTGGAGCTAGAACAGAGACATGCACATGATTATACAGGGGCAGGGGCTCAAGTTTTTTCCAGTCGTTTATACAATATGGAAATTAATGTGAAATTAAAACACAAAGTATTAATAGAAAGGTAATGACTGTCCTGTGTAGGTGACAGTGATATCCAATAGGCTAGGCACTCACGAGGCTGGCTGTGGCAAGTGTAAGTGAAAGCAACACGCACTGGCAGGAAGAACAGCAAACGCCGATGAAGGAAAAGGGTCTTTGCAGTGATGGGCGTTACCAGAGAGGGCGATGGCCAGAGGACACAAATGGGACGGGGAGGCAGCACGTTGGGGGGGGGGACGCGACACGGCTCGGGCCCGCCAGTGCCCCAACGGGGTCCTAGTTATTATTTTTCCTCCCCTTTGAACTGGAAAATGGCCCACTTCCCACTGGCGAAAACTCATGAAATTTGGCAGGACGACCGGGCCTGGTGAAAAATTTGATATTCCGAAGTCGCCCAAACAAGAAAATGCAAAATGGCTCCATAGCGCCCCCTAAGGTGAAAAATTCACCTGACGCCTGTACGCTTTGTCAAAATGACACAAAAATTGACACACACATGTATCTCAATAAGATCTACAAAAAAGTCAGTGCGGGCGTATCTGTCAAATGTACGGTTAAAGGGTTATTGCGCATTTTTTGCCGATCCGCACACATTGGAATTTCGCTAACTCCTCCGAAGGCTTTCGTTCCACCGGCACCACATTTGCTCAGGCCAATCTACACCCCATGGCCATTAAAAGTTATTCAAATCATGACGCTGCACCCCACGGTTTAGGTTCTAGGGGGCGCCAAAGATAACCCTAAAATCCACATATTTCAAAGTCTTATAACTTTTTATTTTTGTCCTCACTGGCCTCCAAGTTTTCTAGGATGATGCAATGTCCAGCCATCAACACATTTGTGAAGGAATTTTTACTCCCCAAAAGAGCGCCCCCCCATGGCAGGAGAAAAAAGTCCATTTTTTCTTGTCCCCTAAGGTGAAAATTCACATTGTAGAGTGTCACGCCTGTACGCTTTGTCAAAATGACACAAAAATTGACACACACATGTATCTCAATAAGATCTACAAAAAAGTCAATGGGCGCGTATCTGTCAAATGTACGGTTAAAGGGTTATTCCGCATTTTTTGCCGATTCGCACACATTGGAATTTCGCTAACTCCTCCGAAGGCTTTCGTTCCACCGGCACCACATTTGCTCAGGCCAAATTACACCCCATGGCCATTAAAAGTTATTCAAATCATGACGCTGCACCCC